CCTCACCCCCCTGGTCTGCAGACCAGGGAGATGGGGAGCAAAGCAGAGCAAAGCGGCCCGCTGCCCGCCACTTTGTTTCCTCTCCCTGGTCTGCTGGAGACCAGGGAGACGGGCCCCGTTCGTAGCTGCGGATCCGACATAAGTCGGATCCGCGTAACTCGGGGACTGCCTGTATCTTCAGATAATTTGTGCTCTGTATACACTTGAGGACACATTCTTTTCAGTATCTGTATCTTTTTTACTAACACTGCAGACAATGTAATAGGGACAATCATGGGATAAGAAGGGGAGAAAAATCAATACTCAGGCAACAGAAATCATACATGAATGAGTCTTCAACAGAGTTCAGCCCATTTTAAGGGCAAGATGCAACCTCCTAATAACGGATGTGTCAAGAGTGTGACAAAGGTAATGGCTACAGTAAAACACAGACTCCGAACCACTGGTGAAAGGAGCACCTTACAGCTCTTGATTAATCTCTTCCTACCTACTCTAAAGTAGCCTCATGTCCTTAAGCAGTCTCTGCCTGAGGACTGCAAACAGGACCTAGAAGGAAACACCAACTCATTTTTATTATCCTAGTTCTTCTTTACAAGAGCGAGCATATTGTAAAATAAAGCTGTAAGTACTGAAGCGATGGAATTAGATAGTCAGTATTAAGAAGTTAAATATAAATTTACAATTATGCCAACCTGCAGAAGGCCTTGCATTTATAATAGCTTCCTTTGTCTACGTACCAACAAAAACATAGATAATTAATTTTTAAATTACTTCTGAACCAGTGAATTTAGATTCTATACATAAAAGACAGCATAACACATACATACTTTTCTACTGCTGATCGTTTCTGAGATTTACTCTTGTAATTTAATGCCATCTTTGTCTCCATACCTGTATACACAGCAACACCTGAAAAAAACCAGAACCATACTTTAGTTTCTGTTCAGCTACAGTTTGTTATTTTCTACAAAAATTAGAGAGCTTGTTACTTGTAAATGTGCACTTGCATTCTCAGGCACCATGGTGAGGCAAGTTAGACTTTTCATAGACATTCTGTGATGAGAAAGCAGAATTTTGGAACTAAATTTAGCATTTGTTAATACTGCTAAATGTTAGGTCTGTACTGTTCCCCCAATATACAAATAGAGGTCAGAATATAAATGCCCTAGAATAGGTCTTAAACACTGTAAATAGACAGCCACTTATCTATTGGCCTCTCAGTGCTCCACTGTTAACCCAAAGACAGAATTCAATATCCTACAAAATCTCTGCTCCTATTCTACACCCCTTCAGCCATAATCAGACCCACTGTGCAGGCAACCCCAGAAGTACTGCTGAAGACATTTTAGCAAGTTTTAAGACGATCACACTTTTAAAAATATTTCAATATCTACAAACCAAAAATTTCTTTTGTGTTTTTTAATCTTGCTCCTCGAAGTAAGAGACTTTCAGGCCCAAGAGGTCTAAAAAGAAATAGATACATCAGCATTTTTTTCTTTTAACAGAGAACAATATTTAAGAATAGCTATTTTAAAAATTTAGGATATCACCACATTTTGAATTCTAAGGATCCCTTTAAACCATTGTGCATCAGCTGAAACAGATACTGCCTAAAGTACAGCTACTGTTACCAGGATGATTACTTTAAGGTGAGAGCGATATGTGTATGTCCCATCCCCAGTGCCTGTGTTGTCTTTGGAAAGCGTAAACAATGTTAGTCTAAAGTCAAGCAAAAAAAAAGTAATTTTTTCTTGTTTTGCCTGAAGGGGTTCCAATAGAAACTGAAATGGGGGAGCGGAGGAGTGGGAGGACTCAAGTGGAGACACCAGAATTAAAAAACGAAACACTACACAGTATAACTTGTTAGCTCTTGTATAAGCAATAGCAACAACAGCTCAGCTACAATTCACAAAAACAGAGTGTCTTATATCCTTCAAGTCCAGTTGAAAACAATCCAAATTTTAAAAATGGTGTTCGCAAGAGACAGGCTTTTAATAGGGGACTAACTGTAACTGTACAAACAATTGACAAGTTGCATCTACAACCACAGTTAACTGCATGTGCAAATTATGCACTTGTTTGTGATATTTACTTTAATTTTTTTATAAATCTTTTAGAAAGAATTCAATCAAAACACGAGTAAAAATAACACTGCATGTGCAAATTATGCACTTGTGATATTTACTTTAATTTTTTTTATAAATCTTTTAGAAAAAATTCAATCAAAACACGAGTAAAAATAAATACTACTTAGTTTTTTAAATCTGTAATAAAGAAACACTGCAATATAGTACACTTGAAATAGAGAAGATTAAGTATTCAGGTAAACTATGTTCTGCTAAGAAGCCATAGCCATTTATCACTGGACACAAATAGTTTTGTAATCAATAAAACCACTTTAATTAGCTCAGAATTCAACAGTTCAGGTTAAGATGATTGATCGTTGATAAGGAGATACGTACGCTGTGTCTGCTGGTGGAGTTGTAACTGTCTTCACGCATGCTTTAAACTGATTCTGCTAAAGCTAGTCAACTGAACTAATTGAGATTATCCTAGAGCTGAACTTGAAAAGCTTGGCAATAATATAGTCTGCTGAGATGCAAATGTGATGGCATTAGAGTGCAGAAAGATATGTTTTCTGTCTCCACAGTTAGGAAAGAGTTCAGGCAAATCATGCATTCACCCTGTACTTCAACATAATCATCTTTAAAACGAACATAATATTTACTCACCTCACAGCATAAACTGAAGTACAGGGTGAATAAATGATTTGCCCAAGTCCTGTAAGAAGTATGGGACAGAAGACAGATCTTTCAGCCTATGCCTAAGGCCTATGTCTGAACAACAAAAGCAATTAAGTATGAACTTCTGGGGCATTAAAATATCAAAAAAGTAACAGGAAGGAACATTTTACATTTTAAAGATAGAGAGGACCAATTTAAGAGGTCAACACCCTCGAGCTGTCACTGAAATTTGGATGCTAAGCAATTTTAAGGTGCCTGTATGCGATTTAATATCAGTTGAAACTGAACTCTTTTACTGCTTGACCCTTTTTTTGCTCCATTTTAAATGGATACTCTTTATTTCAATGGAACAGGAAAACCTATTATACCAGGCATGATCACTACTACAGGCAATGTTCATTTACTGTAATGCATGGGATTGTGAGCTCTTTAGCATTTATGAAATTAAATACTTAATGAAATTGCACATTAAACTTTTTTAAAAGCTCCAGTAGGGTAACAAGTCAGTAGTTCCCCAATTTAAAAAAGGAGCTGAGAATACTCAGTGCCTCCGATAATCAAACCACAGGTATCTATTGCATTATGAGACACAGAACTGTAAGTTACAACTCTTCTTAAAAACTTGACATTCTAACTTCATACACACATTTTAAAAACATTCAAATGCGAACATTACAGAAAGTCAGTCAACACAAGTAGTGAAGCTAACAATTACCATAAAATATACTTTACATAACAAATCAGTTTGGGTTTAAATACTTCAACTATGTAATCTAGTTTTACCCAATTCGTCGTTAACTATGCAGTCAAACCAGCATCTCAATAATTAGCTAACACCTTTTTCAATTCCATGCTAATGCTCTTTTATGATTGTCATGTTTTATCATCTTAACTTAGCTTTTAAGTATATTAAGTTAGCTTCACAAACATTTTACTTACTGTACGATTTCCTCAATTTGTTGACTTATAGTTATTCTTCCAACAAATCTATGAAAAAAGTTAATATGTCAAAAGCATACATTCCTCAAAAATGTTGGTATACAAACTATAATATTAAAGAAACAATCTTTATTTTATTTATGCAAAGAAAGCATGACATAAATGTGGCATGCCTCAGATGGAATATTCCATTCTTGATTTACAGTGTTTTTATTAATAGACAATACATCAGCCCAAATTATAATTTATGGAATAATTTTAAGTCATCATCAACAAGAATTATGAACCACCCCCTTTCAAGAAAATGAACTGAGTGGTTTAGAAATAACCCATACAACTCAATTTATGAAATCAGGTTAAAAATATTTTTTGTTAATTTGGCTGAAAATCCCCCTACCCTAGAGTGATCACATGTTCATTCCTTAAAAAGTCAAAGTTACCAATACATTTTTCATCTGAAAGGAACAGTAATTTCACATTTAAAGCAGATGAACAAACAATACTTTCAAATTCTTAGGTATCAGAACTGTCAATATATTTTGCATGCCTTATAACACCCAGATATAAAATTAGCCAAATACTTAGTTTAAATAAGCTACTGCCCATATACACTAAAACCTGTGTTATCTGGCACATTCGGGGATTAGGGTGTTCTGGTTATCTAAAAATTGTGGTTCTGAGGGTCCCATCGAACAATAACAGTAAAACTCAAGTTTTAACATTGGTAGTTTTATAGTGTGAGGCAGTTGGTGTCTCATTTCTATTTTGTGTTAAAGATGAGTGGTACTTCTTAAATAAAAAATGGTTAAGCCAATCATAGTAAACCAAGGCAGGCCTGTGCGCCTGAAGATGTGACAGTATTGTGGCCAGGGGCAATGCCAGTTAAAGATTTCTGGTTAACAGAGTGCTGGATAACAAAGGTTTCACTGTCGAAGGATTACTAAAACTAAAGTACATGAAAGTTATGAGCCTCTATAAAAAGAGAATCATGAATAAAAAAATTGATGCAATGTTAATATAAGTCAGAAATATTTACAGGGCCATAAACCTACATGCAACATACATTTGTTATGAAAACACCCTTTTAAAAAGTCTCTCATTGCTTGCTGACTGCAGCTTTTAAATGAGATATTTAAGATGTGGCAATGGTTTACTAAATTCAACTAATCTTTTTCTGCTGGGAAACCATTCAAATCCTGCTTAGGATGTAAATTAAAGTTAATTTTGGTATAGATGGTCTTAGTGGATAGTTAACACCTGAGTGGATAATTAACATCTGAGACTTTAATTTAGAACAAAAGAAAGGGGTATTAAATATTCAGTTTTGGCAGAACCATGTGCAGCTCTTGTAGTTTTCCACAATTTTTGCTCAAGCACCATTACTTTTTTTAAAATTACAAATACATTTTCTGCTTATGAAGTGATGTAGAACCATACAGATGTCAAAATATAAACAAAATCAGAAGGCTCTCTGTTTGTAGCTTTAAACGGCACAGAGATTTACATATAGGTTCCTACATCTGTTTTATTAAACATGAAATATACACCAATATATGAAAAAAGGAAGTTACTCACCTGTGAAGTAATGATTGTTCTTCAAGGAGTATGATCTTGTGGGTGCTCCATTGTTGGTGATAGGTCATCCCTGGAGCCACAGTTCAGAGCTTTTTCTTAGCAGTTGTCAGTCGAGCCACACATGCGCAGAAAACGCCTCATTCCATTGGCAGTTTGATGCCTCGTGCACGCAGCCCAACTCCCTCCCCGCCTTCAGTTCCTCATCTACGTCCGGGTAACTAAGACTGAGTAGAGGAGAGGAAGGGAGGGTCGTGGAGCACCCACGGGGACATACAGCTCGAAAAACAGTTGTTACTACAGTGGGCGAGTAACTTCCTTTTCTGCTTCAGATGATGTCCCCACGGGTGCTCCTCTGTTGGTGACAATAAAGCAGTACTCAACATGGAGGGTGGGACTCAGAGTAGGTGCTCCTCTGTTGGCAGTACTCAACATGGAGGGTGGGACTCAGAGTTACTGCTTAGTGACAGAGAATAGTGCTGTTGTAGTCGTTGCTGTATCAGCTGAGGCATGGGTGCATAATATCTAGTGGATGACCAAGTGGCTGCCCAGTATATGTCTTTAAGGAGCATGCTGTTTAGGAAAGCCACAGATGTTGCCGTGGCATGAGTAGAGTGTGCTCTTGGTGGAGCTGTCAACAGCGTATTGCAAGGAGAATGGCATTGCAGTATACAGGCTGACATCAGTCTGGAAATGCATTGTGCTGAAACTGGTTGCAATGGACACAAAGAGGTGTGGGAGCCTGCAGAACACCTGTGTCCTGTCTATATAAAATGCTAGATCCTGTCTAATGTCCAAAGGGTGAAGCATGGCATCTCTGGGGGATGCATGGGGCTTCAGGAAAAACATAGGTAGGACTCGTTGATATGAAAACAGGTACTGACTTTGGGTAGAAATGATGGATGGGGTATTAAAGACACTATATTTGCGAAGGACAAAGTGAAAGGGGGACCCGCCATCAAGGCCCCTATTTCACTAATCCCCCTTGCTGAGATAATGGTTCGAGTCTCCTTAGTACGATGTAGGATCTCATCTGTGTTAGCCGCAAACAGCTTTTGCTTGTTGAAAGTGAGATCCTCCATCTTTGTTTGAAGCTCCATAGACTCCCCTGCTGCATGCAACCATGAGGCTCTCCTCATCACAACAGCTGTGGCTGTCTCTCTCGCCACTTTGTCAGCCACGTCTATTGCTGACAGTAGGGCAGTACAGGCAATGGTATGCCCCCCATGGATGATTTCCCTGAGAACTGGCCTTTTGGAGTCAGGGAGGTGTTCTATAAGTTTGGCCAACAGAGTAGTTGTCAAAATCACAATTAGCTAAGAGTGCAGAGTAGTTAGCTATTCTGAGTTGTAGTGTGGCCAAAGAGCTTATTTTTCTGCCAAAGAGGTCCAATTTTGTATGTTGTCACTGTTTGCGGATTTAAACTTAGGGGCTTTTGAGCGTTGATTTGCTGCATCCACCACCAGTGAGTTTGGTGGGGGATGGGAAAAAAGGAAGTCTAAGTCTTTAGGAGAGACAAAGTACTTCCTGTCTACTTTTTTGCAGAGTGGCTGGCTAGAGGCGGGTGTCTGCCAGATGTCATGGGATACCTCCATGATGGCTTCATCAATTGGTAGCACAATCCTTCCTTGAGAGGAGAGATGGATGTTCTTTAGGAGATGATGCTGCTTCTCCTTTACCTCTTGAAGCTGAACTTCCTGGCTAGTGCCCGCTCTTTCAAAAAGTTCTTGAAATTGCTTCAAGTCATCAGTGGTGTGCGTGTCCTCAGGAATTATGGCTTCATCAGGAGATGATGATGATGAACTGTCCCTAGGGGAATCTTGTGGGGCTTGTGTGTCAATGTGCTCATCTGGAAGTTGACCCTTCTCTTCTTTCGACTCTGCAGTGTTCAGGAGGGAGTGGTATGGGGAGGCTGGTGGAAGCCTCTTTGGTGAAGTAGATGGGGCCGTGGAGTGGCGACTGCAAAGTCACCACTACTCCCATGGGGGCCATCGGGGCAGGTAATGGGGAGGAGGATAGTACCACTCAGGGTACCACTGTGGATGGTGAAATCTTTCACGGTAGTGATGATATTGGCGAAAACACTCTTCTGATCATATTCAGCAAATCCGGAGCATTCATGTAACAATGGAGATCTAATATAACCTAGAGATGTGCAAAGTGAAAATAGCACCAGAGAAAGTTCCCTTGATGGGGGTGGGTGGAAAGGGAGCTACTGGTCATTGATTTCAGGTGGTGGTAAGGCATGCGTGTCTCTGGCTGTCTCAGCATGGTCAGCCTGCGCTGACTGTGGTGCCTGTGCCATAGCCTCTGAGGGAGGAGGCATCTGCATTGATGTTGGCATGCTGGGAGGTGGAGCCGAAGACTTGCGAGGCTGCTTAGAATGCAGAACCAGCTGCTTTCTTGGCGCCAGGTGTTGAGGCGCTGCTTGCAGAGGTGCCGGGGTTTGCCAGCATGATATTTCCAGTGCCAACAATGAGCGTATTGGCCCTTGCATGACGCGGGGTGCCACTGCAGTGGTACCTGCTGAGCATCTCGGCACCAAGTTGCCAGAGGTGCCACACCCCTGCTTGGTCTGGGAGACAGGTAAAGGGGTAGCGACCTCGCCTGGGAGACCCTTCTCTTGTGATATTTATGAGGGGAGAGAGAAGCAGACCTCTGTTTAGGCAGGCCTCCTGGGGGCAGAATGGGCTGCAGTTCTTCAGTAGGCTGTAGCGCCTTTTCAAAAAGTACCATACGGAGCCAAAGCTCCCAGTCTTTCTTGGCTCTTGTTGTGAGGCTGCAGCAGTGGTCACATTTTTTGGGGGGGCGTGTCTCCCCCAAACAGCATATACAAAAATCATGCCCATCAGAAGTGGGCATGGGGTCGTTGCACTGTAGATAGTTTTTAAACCTGAGCACCCTACATGGCAGTCTGTAGTGGCCGCTTGCTGAGCGCTGAGAAGGCTTCCTTTAAAGATCTCCTTTTCATTTGTGTTTGTTTCTGATTGTTCTTTTTTCTTGTCTTTTTTTTTTTTTTTAAACAGGGGAAATGAGGAGAGGGGGGGCTAAGAACAAATGTGGCAGGGCGTGAGGAAAGAAACGGAGTCACTGCCGCTGAGGCAGTCCCTCAGGACTGAGGTTTAAAGTTTTGGTGTTTTTTTTTTTTAAACAGAACGATGAACCAGCACCTAAAGACCAACTAATAACACGAAAATGCTAAAAAGGCAGGAATAAAACTGAAATTATGCATGAGGAGAATAGACACCTGAGGCGAGAGAGAAGCTCCATCCACGACGACGGGGGTCTCAGGCTGCTCACACGAGGCATCAAACGGCCAATAGCAAGAGGTGCCTTCCGTGCATATGTGGCCTAAACAGGGGAAATGAGGAGAGAGAGGACTAAGAACAAATGTGGCAGGGCGTGAGGAAAGAAACGGAGTCACTGCCGCTGAGGCAGTCCCTCAGGACTGAGGTTTAAAGTTTTGGTGTTTTTTTTTTTAAACAGAACGATGAACCAGCACCTAAAGACCAACTAATAACACGAAAATGCTAAAAAGGCAGGAATAAAACTGAAATTATGCATGAGGAGAATAGACACCTGAGGCGAGAGAGAAACTCCATCCACGACGAGGGGGGTCTCAGGCTGCTCACGCGAGGCATCAAACAGCCAATAGCGAGAGGTGCCTTCCGTGCATATGTGGCCTGACTTGCAACGGCTAAGAAAAACTCCAAACTGCAGGTCCGGGCATAACCCATCACTAATAGTGGGCCACCCACAGGGACATTACCCAAAGAAAAAGAAGCTTTACTCTCAAGATCCATGTAATTTTTAACAGCCATCAAAAATTATGCTTTTAAATCAACTTTGAAATTATTAAGAATAGAATGGTACCTGTATAGATCTGCTTCTGGCTGCTGACATTCTACAACAGCTACGAGCGTGTCCAGGTTGGCAACGGACTGTAATACTGCTGTTTCTGGAACTGCAATGTGAGTCTGAAGAAAAATACCCAACATTCAATTTCGTTATTTGGAACCACAGAAAAGAAAATCTCAATGGATACAGAAAGGTACTAGCTCCCTATTAGCGAGATGTCCCATTACTCAAAAAAGCCTTTGGAACCCTAAAATGAATCATGGATTTTGTATATGAAAGCATTACATCTTGAACAGTGGCAGATGTTTCACCATTGTGACACTACAAACCAGCATTTAAAAGTGTCCCTACTTCGCGGATTTTCAGCTATTTGGAACCACAGAAAAGAAAATCTCAATGGATACAGAAAGGTACTAGCTCCCTATTAGCGAGATGTCCCATTACTCAAAAAAGCCTTCTCACTATTAGTGAGATGTCCCATTACTCAAAAAAGCCTTTGGAACCCTAAAATGAATCATGGATTTTGTATATGAAAGCATTACATCTTGAACAGCGGCAGATGTTTCACCATTGTGACACTACAAACCAGCATTTAAAGTACGGCAATAGAGTTCCTTAAATATCATTAACTTGACCAGAAAAATACCCATATCAATTAGCATTTTATAACACTACTTATACTAGCAGAAAAGACTTAGTCCCATTAATATAGCTGAAACCAAAGAAAAATAAAGAGGGATACTACAGTTCCGATGTATTAAGACACACCTAAAGGTCAGAATCTGCTACTCTTACTCTCACAGAGTAGTACATTTTATTTCAAAAGTAAGCCCACTGATTTCAAGAGGGTTGGGTACTACTTAGTTTGAGTAAGGGTGGAAGAATAAGATCTTATGAATAGGTCAAAGATAGAAGAGCAGATTACAATGGACTGATTTTTAAAAATAGCTTTGCTATATGCCCACATCAGATAAAAAATAAGTACAGGGCTAGACAGTCTTTATACTTTGTAAAACTTAGTACATTGTGAGAGCTGTGAAGATTTTTTTTTTAAAATAAAGTTAGACACACAAAAACCTTTCATTTGAGTCATTTCTCTAAGGAAGTTGACCTTTACTAGTTAGGCAAATGCTAAAAGTTGATTTGACTTTTTTATTTCTATGTTGCATTTCATACTAGCAATCTGCATATGTTTAGACTACCAACCTTAAGATTAGTTTCTCCATCCAAACTAGCAGTAGTAACATGACATGAACCATCCACTCTATCCGAGGACAGAAGTACAAGATCAGCAGGGAAAGTCTCATCTTTGGCTACTCTAACAATATCACCCACCTGAAAAGATGAACACAAACAAGATGTTACAGAACTTGCTTTTGAAAAAGAATAGATTTAGAATTAATTTTAACACTTACTCAGAATTATAATGCAACAGGCTTACATAATACTGCAATGAAACAAATGAGCAAATTCTTAAATTAACTAAGTTGAATAAAGAAGAAATACGCTATTTTCTGTGTTACTAGATACATACCCTAATGTTTTTTGATCTAGTTTTTACAAGGCCACCACTTCGAACAACATAAACTGGAGCTCCATTTACTTCATTGTCTGCTTTATGTCGTAACCAGTCTTCATACCCCTGCAGAAACAGAAGACTGAAAGTTACATTTCAAACTAGAAACCCAAGAGCTATACTTTTCTAAGAGTAACTGAAAGCAGTTTGAGGCACCATAGCTTTGCAAACAACTAGCTGTGTGACCTTCAGCATGTCACTAGACTCTGTTCTATTCAGTTCTACTACACCCACAAATGTGCAGTCTGAGCACCCTCTGTTTACACTAGTTTCAGATTTTGTTAAATAAGGATAAGAAATGTAGCAAATGTGTAGAATTATGGAATTTTTGTTACTTTTAAAAAACAAATATTTGAGGTAAAGGTTCCCGAAGAAGACATATGGCTCTCAGGTTGTGAGAGAAGTTGTTTTAACTATAAAAGGATTAAGACAGGTGATTAGAGAATACAATCGTTCCCACACTCATCTATTAAAAGCAGAAGTAACAGACTAAAATTACTCCCTTTTCTGTGAATTATACAATTTCCAGAGCTTGCTCTAGTATCTTTTTGAGCAACAGCCAAGGCACCTGCTCTTGCAAAGAGACTGCAAACTTCAATAGTGTGGAAATGACATTCACATTTTGTTGAGCAAGTGGAGATGACAGTGTGGGGGAAACAGTTAGGTACAAAGTTTTAATCCAAAGTAACAGGACAGTGTGGGGGGAACAGGTACAAAGTTTTAATCCAAAGTAACAATTTAGAGTGATTAATCAAACTGAATTTTTAATAAAGGAGACAACCAGCCTTTTTTTCCTCCAGATACTCAAAATCCAAAGCAGAGTACATATCCTGTTTTATATTTTCTTTGCACATCAGTTAATATGTTGCTTGTTTATTTGTACCCTCCCAACAAATCTGTTGTAAGAAAGTAACAGGTGTACCCTGGAAGTAGCATTCCCTATAAGGGGTGTGCAACATGGACGTGCACCAAGATTTTGAGGCTCGCCCACCTCCTCAGCAGGGCTGTGAAGTGGCTACTCCGCTGTTCCAGGTAGGGGGACGGGGGCCGCATGATAGACGGCTGTCTCGCCCCAGGAGCAGCCACCATGTGGCCCTGGCACTATCTTCAGCCCTCCCCAAGGGTGGGAGCTGTGGGCCACGTGGCAGATGGGGGCCCCGGCCAGGACCAGAGACAGAGGCACATGGCGGGTAACTGCTGCTCCTCTGGCGGAAGTTCCTTGGGTGGCAGCTGCTCCTCTGGTGGCCCAGGCTGGGGCCAGAGCCAGGGGCAGGCCACTAGCAACTGCTCCGACAGCTGAGACCTGGGCCTGAGCAGCCGTGTGTTGGCCCTGCATGAAATAAACAGGTGGTGACCTCCACCCATGCCTCTCCATCACCAGAACCCTGCATGAAATAAACAGGTGACCTCCACCCATGCCTCTCCATCACCAGACTTACGGCCACAGTCACCCTTCTCGTGAACAGATCTCAGCAGAGGAGACAAGATACCTGCTGCCAGACCACAGCTGCGGCATGTTAGCAGCAGTGCCTTGGTGAAGGTAGCACTGGTAAATATATCAGGTAAACCACATGTGAGCAATTAGGAGTGTAATAGAGTAATAGAATATAATTAATGTGAGAATCGGTGTAGACATTATCCTCTCAATATATATTATTCTTTTTATATCTAATCTCTCAAACACATATATTTGCATCTATCAGACTGCAATAAAAGACACCTATGTACCAGAAGCAAAAATATACATAAATCTGTTCCCATCACACATCTGCATATGTGTACAAACCCCCACATAGTCTACTCGATCAAAATGCAAAAAAAAGGGGGATAAATAATCATCATTGGATGTACTTCTTTTCTTCATTATTAATGGACAGCAGTCAGGCCAGGCATTTGGGCAAGGCCTGGGGCCCCATGCTGCCCAGCTCCCAGCCCCACCCACCTGGCCGCTTACTCTCTGGCCTGACTGGGAGCTACACAGACTCAGGCAACCATAGTGTGCTGCTTTGGGCCTCGTGAACTCTTTGGCTGGGCCTGACAGCAATTGTAAAGCTACATCATCTGGGTCTTACGTGAGTGTCCTGTCACTTAGCGGATCTGTGTGTGTGTGCTTCAAACTGTAGACCTTGGATATGTGTGTGTGTGTGTGTGCTTCAAACTGTAGACCTGTATTTGAGTGTGGACGAAAGAATGTAAAATTTGTTTATTTCAAGGTGTATGCCTCTGTATGCATGTTATGAATTAGGGGTTGTGTTAATGTGTATATTGTTGACATCAGTGTGTTGTGAGAGCACACACATTTTTAGCGTAATTAGTTTCCCTCTGTGTGTTGTATGAGTTTGTAGTCAATGTGTGATGTCATCTGTGTAGTGTGCGGGCTTGTATGGTTTTTCATTCCCATGGAGCTTTTGGTTCCTAGGCTGTTAGGTAGTGCATTAGTACATAGAGCCATAGGTTGATTGTGTTATGGATCAGCAGTGTGTTGTGTTAGTTTGTGCATGATGCAGTGTGGGTGTTTGTGTTTTGTCTCTGTATTAAGCTGTGTGGCCTGTGGGAAGGGGGACAGAATTGATCCAGTGAAATCAAACGTTCTAACATTGGTAAAGGGTGCACAGGATGGGGATGCAGGAGATGGGGAGCCTTTGGATGCAAGAACAGTGGGAGCAACGCTGGGTGAGAGTGAGACTGGGTGCCAAGCTGGGTGGTTTTCAGGGTGGGTGGGTACAGGGTCATGCACCTTGTTAATTATCCCTTGTTTTAGTATTTTTTCTTACATAAATTAAAATAAAATAAATGTAGTTAGTAACTGGTGAGTGGCACACATCTGAACAAGTGCACATGAACTCAATATTGGTGCACAAGTCAAATTTCACTCCACTCACGGATGGAAAGTCTTAGAACACTGTTTGGAAGAGACTATTGATATGCAGCACACAATGGATCAGCCAGCATACATATGAATTCAAAGGCTATCCATTTTCCTGAAATTAAGATTAATGTTAATATGTGTACTACTGCAATACCTACGAGTCCTAGTCATGCATCATAACCCGATTTTGCTAGGTGTGCTCACACACAGAACAAATAGACAGTCCTTGACTCAAGAAGCTTAAAATCTAAGTATAGAACAAAGATGGTGACCCAGTAATTTTTCTACCAATGTTTTATTCACAAATGTGTGCACTGTACACTCAAAAGTACAAAAGTAGCCTTGGCGAGTAAGCTCACAAGTGTGCATAAAATCCAGATGTGAAAATTTTTAAAAAGCTTGACTTGATAAAAAGCAAAGCCCAGAGAAGATTAAATATACAGCAGATGGTAAATATAAAAGGCTTTTTCGCTGTGAGCAATCAAGTCTGTCTCTTTTTGTTCAAGAACTCCTACTAAATGGGAAGAGCTAGGACCACCAAATTTGGTATGCAGCTTCCTCTTATCATAACTTAAAGCAAGGCAAAGATTTGATTCTGTGGGGTATAGGAGGGGTATCCTTGAAGGGACACACAAAATCATAAAGAAAAAAGACAATCACCAGGCAGGTGAAAGTGGCTGGCTGGGCGTGCACCACCCCATCAGGGAATGCCCCAGCCCCAAGCCTCCCACCCAAAGTGCTTTTTAGGGAGGGTGGAGGGTTGCAGCTCCCCCACATTCACATGGGAGATTGCTGGCTGTTCCCCATGTTCCCTGACAAAGGGAAAGTGCACAGTTTGTTCCATTCCTCGGTCTGTCTAGGGAGAGCAGGGGGCAAACAAACCCGGACCTGCCCCACCCAGGGGACATGCACCCTCTCCCCCAGTCCCAAGCAGAAGGGGAACAAGCACTCCAATTTCCATATAAAAGGCCAGGGCTCTGGCTGCTGCTGACATAGCAGCAGCTGAGAGCTAAGGGCCTTTTAAATTGTTGTGCCCTGGGGCAGCTGCTCTCTTTATCCCCACCCTGTGCCCCTCGGTGGCCCTCCTAGAAGTACGTACTGTGCCCCACTGAAATGCTGGGAATATCACCACTCCAATGAGACTATGTCTGGCATTGGAATGCCACAAGATACTGGAATTGAATGTTTTGATATTCGTGTACAGAAAAGTTGTTACTGATACAAAACCGTACCTTGCATATTCTGAATCTTGGACTAAGGCTGACTGAAAGAGGAAATATTTCTATGGTGCGTTTGAGAGTCAAAAGTGTACGATGGATTTATCATCTATCAAGTGATTCTTAAATTATAAAACTGATACTACTTCCATACATGGTGTTTATTATACAGGCAGTCCCCGAGTTACGTGGATCCGACTTACGTCGGATCCGCACTTACGAACGGGGCTCTCTCGCCCCAGAGCTCGCAGGCAGCGGGACCGTCCAGAGCGCAGAGGTCCCGCCACCTCGACCTCCGGGGCGAGAAAAGCTGCTCCGGGTGCCCCGGTCTGCTGGGGACCGTCTCCAGCAGACCAGGGACACCTGGAGCAAAGCCGGGGAGGCGGAGGGGTCCCGCACCTCTGAGGCTTTGCTCTGGCAAAGCCTCAGAGGCGTGGGACTCCGCCGCCACTGATGCTTTGCTCCCGGTGCCTCTGGGCT